TTGATTTTGAATGTTCAGCTTTTATGGCAGCTGTATGCTATAGTGGTCATATCGGCGGTTCTGACCAATAAGCATCGACTCAGATCGTCACGCTCTTCATTTATATGCATATTTATAAGGTCTCCGACTTTTCCTGCTGGCTATTTCAAACTTCTTGGCATACTTAATATGCCCTGTTCAGGGTAAAACTATAAAATTTCCAATGCAAAATTGTCCTGTATAAATTTATGAAAGAGAAAATGAAATTGGCATTGAAATTGCCATACATTGTTTCTTTTCATCAATATAATTAAATTGAAAATACTTAGAGTTGTTAACAAGAGYTTAATTGAATCGAATTGGCTTGTGACTCAATATCATCAGTTCCGTTGCCTTTTAGACGAAAATATATAAATGGGCGTCTCTGTTATATATGTATACCCCAATATGACACAGCGCTCCCCACACACCACTTTTTATGAAATACAATTTGATTTTAGTGCGTGTAGTCGATGAACATAATTGGGAATTCAAAATTGTGGATAACGATAACTATGATAATGAGTTAGATGTTAAATACTTTCATAGCCCACCGTTTTATTCAATGCAAATATAATTAATTCATCTGGTAGTTTTTTTTTCGAACTTATTTTTATCAGCATAAATTCAAATGTAAATTATTCTTCATAGTGGACTCCGGAAATCAGGTTTGCACCTAGTGCCTGATTTTCGCGCCCTCATTTGCACGTGAACTGAAAAAAGTGATTACAAGAAGCGTAAGTTGCTCCGTGAGTAACTCAAATCTATGTTAAACATATGTATACAGTTTATTAAAATGTAGTGTTTCATAGCTTCTTATTAGGGCTAGCTTGTAATTTCATCCTCAGCGCCTAGTCATTCTACTTTTAGCACGTTAGTTTATTCCCATATATTTTGTGCCTCTTTAGATGATTAGAGTTGCAACCTACAGCACGCAAGAATTCACATAACTTAAGTAGAAAGAAGRAGATCACTGTTTCAAATATTGTACCGAAGAAAACATGCGAATTCTGCGGATTTCAAAATTTCACACTTTCACACTTTGCAATAGCTGTTATTACGGCACGCAGTTGAAGACCGCTGCACTTTTGCACCTGGTTTATTTGTTGCCTCTGATTGTTGGTGAATGCATTAGCTTTGTTATATGTATGTATGTACGTTTAACATCATAGCTTTGCTACAATATTTAAGATGTCGGGCTAGTGTTATCCGAGAAGACCAGTTAATTCGCAAAAACCATTTGGAGCGGAGTTAGAAATCTCCAAACTCGGCACTACAAACTTCAGATGTCTTCGATCCGYAATTTCTCTGCTCGCTATCTTTGGGCTCTGCTTTCTTATCACGAAATTTACTTGTTGGAGCAACACCAGAGTTAGGAAATGGGATACAAGAGGGTATTAAATGATTTATCCGCTGTCTTCAGCTACAAAATTTCCTCTTACATGGTTTCGACAAGTTTTACTGCATCCGAAATAAGCATTTGTCCCCCAAAAAAAGAAATGCAGAATCTTTGATCTATTTAACAGTATAAAAAATAAAGTAATGAAGACGAATATCGAATTAAAAAGAGTCATATGTTTACTCTGAACTACTAATATTAGGCGTGTTTTATTTGACCAACAAATTAAGCTATTAGCTTATTTTGTATTTAAGACTTAGCCAACATAATTATGTTACTTGTCATAAGCTATCATAGCTTATATTGTATATAGAACGGAGGTATTACCAGTTCATCGCTTTTTTCATTCATAATAGCTATGTTTTTCAAAAAAAAAAAAAAAATTCAAAACAAATAAAAGGTAGACACATTTTGTTTGATTCATTCGTTATCGTTCATTCGGAAATAAAAAAAACCAGAGAAAAAAAAAAAAAAAAAAAAAAAAAAAAAAAAAAAAAAAAAAAAAAAAAAAACAAAAAAAAAAAAAAAAAGTAGTTGGCAATAGCGAGAAACCTCATTTTGACAGATGTATGTAATGTAAACAAACCAAGATTACAGATTTTGTGGATGAGTATTGAGTTAAAATTAAGAAAAATCTGAACACTTGTTTTCAGTTTTTTCTATTATAGGCCTCAAATAAATAAAATAAGTATAATTGTATAGTATACTAATATTCCGTTTACAAATTTGAAATTTCAAACTAAATTGTTCTTGTCCCCATTGCCAACACAATTCATTTTTAAGCGWATATATGAAATAAGCTAAGTGCGTTTTATTTGTCCATGTTTTAGATA